TATTATATAAATACTCAACATGTTCATGCTTCAATTCATATATTCATCTAGTTTTTATAACACATATATGTCTCACTTTTCCTGTCCCCGCTGTTCCTCTACTCGCTCACCTCACTCATCGTATTTCCTAACTCTATTGCCACAGACGGAATGTTGGGGATCATACGATGTTTCCTCATGATAGCGTTGATAAGCGTTCCGACTCAGGCGCTATTCGACAACTGGCTGAGTCTTTCGAATAACCCTGTTTTCGGGGGAGTGCTGAGTTATGTAAAAGGTGTGACACTGGATCTATGGGTCTGTGCGTGTGAAGTATGCCACTATTCGTGGTGATGTCTGGTCTGGTTGTGTACAAATAGAGCGTGCGAATTGTACCAGAGTACAAGCACATGTTGCGTATACGTTTGTGACGTGTGGTAGTGGTATGCTTTGTCTGACAATTGAACCCCAACCTATACTGTGGTTGACCGACTTGAGATGAAATCTATTTTGCTTGACTTATTAACCGTAGCATACCTGAGTACCTGTACATCCGCCATGAAACCGTTCCATTAAGTGATCATGGCAGCGATGAAGCTATGTTCGTTTAACATAGATTAATATATTTAAATATATATATATAGCTTTGTACGTAAACATACACACACCGATATATATATAAATTTAATTTACATGCACATATATATGTATATATATATATATATGTGTGTGTGTGTGTCTGTGTCTATGTGCCTGTGTGTCTGTGTGTCTGTGTGTGTATGTATGCATGTATATGTTTATGTATATGTAGAAGTAAATATATATATATGTGTGTGTGTCTGTGTCTGTGTATGTATGTATGTATATACGTGATCCTTTCGCGTCTACATATTCCGTTAGTTTGATTGTTGTATTGTTTTAGGCAGTATTGCTCTGTTTGGCTTCTCCGTAGTTGTTGATCATATCTCACTCGTTTGCAGACCAATGTAGGTATATCGAGCCCTCTACAATAGCGGTTGAGGTGAAGAAGACTCTGAGTGATCCGCTGTACGGTCTCGTCGGTCGAGCGCTCGTCATCAGCCAACTCAGAGCATTGTATGTGTATTGATATATATGTATATTCCTGATAGTATACTTATATATATTATATATATATATATATGTGTGTGTGTGTGTGTGTGTGTGTGTGTGTGTGTGTGTGTGT